ATAAATCCTGACGAGGGTTCAGAGATGCTGCTGCTCGTGTCATTTATCAGACAGAGCTTCCAGAGGAGGTGAAACTGCAGATCAGAGCACAGGGAGGTGATGAGGAGGAGATAAAGAGGAGTCACAGTCAGTTGGTTTCACTCCTCCTCCTTCATGCTGCATCATGTCTTTACATGAACACAGGCTGAGTGTGTGTGTGTAGCAATAACCACTCACAATGGAGCATACCGTCACACACCAACACAAGAAACTCTTTGTGTGTGTGTGTGTGTGCGTGCGTGCGTGTGTGTGCGCGTGTGCGTGTGTGCGTGCGTGTGAGAGTGGGATACATCATCGACTACATCATCACTTGTCAGCATTTTAAACGTTTGCCACAGAAGAAGAAAAGGAGGATGAGGAGTGTGCAGTGAAGAGCCTCAGGGTGGATTTATTATTGCTGTGATACAGACGTGTGAGATTGTTGTGTAGATAATAAACACCAAGATTTGTGACTTTTTTACTGTTGTTGCGAGGACACAAAGAAGGAGCAGCCGCCGGGCTGCTGTGATGACCTCAGCCTGTTGGACGCTCTGCACCAATAACAGGATCCAACGTTACCAAACAAACATCTGCTCGCGCTGCCACATGAACCGTGTTAAAGCTACACTCAGGCTGCAGACACTTTTTCCCCTCTTGGAGCTGATGATGTCACAGAGAGAGGATGTCCCTAATATGGTCGTCTCAGACACCCGAGTAAAAGCCAAAGAAACCGAGCTGTTAACCCAGGACAGAGTGACATCATCGGCCTCGTGAAGCCTGGGCGTCTGTTCAACATGGCCGCTGGTTTTCTGCCCCGCCTGGAGCACCAGACCGGCGACCCTTCAAGGTAACAGGCTGAGGCGGGACAGACCAGGCCATGACGTCAGGATGAGCGTGCGTAGGTATTTCTACAGGTGACACGGCGACCATCGTGAACAGCACGCAGTAACACGAACCAGCAGAAGATGCGCTTCTTTGATGTCCCCGCTCGCGCTCAGAGTTTGTAAAGCGCTGAACTCTCAGCCACTCAGTCGAACATCAGCAGCACAACAACAGATGATGGATCCATCGGGCAGCTGCAGGAATCAGACCCACAGAGGAAAGTTTTCAGCACCGCAGCTCCCGCTTTCATGTTTGACTGACCCTCCCCGCCTCCCTCCCAGCGTTACATCTCCATCTGAAAAACACCGCCGCCTCTGCTGCTGCCGCTGCTCCGTGAAGCTGGGAGGTAACATTTCCCCCTCAGCAAGAAGAGCCAGTCCGTGAGAGAAACAGAGAGAGATCAGCGCCTGTCGCCGAGGCCCAGCTCGGCCTCAGTGTTGAATTTCGTAATGGAATGCTAACTGCTCATCCGGATCCTTCCTCCTCCTCACAGCAGAGGAGGAGAGGAGGACCAAACGCAGCGGGAATATTCGGCTCTTCGTTGCAGGAAACCTTCCACTCGTTACACATGATCTACCACGAAGCTGCCGTCAGCTCAGCACCGACGATCCACCATAAAAGATGTCCATAAACTAGGTCAAAGTCTGTTTGAACTCGTGCATCGATCACAGATCCAAACAGCCTCTGCTGACACCTACAAATGCATTATACATATGTGTGCAAGAAACCCAACAGATGCACTAAAGTGACCCCACAGGGGCAAAAGCTGCCATAAAACACAATAAATGTACAACACACACGTCTGAGTCGCACAAATATGATTCTTCCTGCAGCGCGGGGCTGACAGATGTTTCCATGAAAGAGTCAAAAGCAATTAAAACAAAAACTTTAAATGAAGCTACAGTGAGAAACTGCAGAAAATAATGCTCCAAATCTCCACTCTTCAGCAGATCGAACACAGTTTAAGAGCATTTCAGGAACATCACAGGGTTTAAAAACTCCACAAACACTCTGTGGAAGTGTGAGCATGTGGGGAACAAATGCATTTCTATAGATAAAACAAAGAGAAATTTAACTTTCTGCAAAAAATTTGAAAAAAAAACAAACCGATTGTGGGTAAAAGTGTTACAAAATCACCATAATTTCCTTTTAGAGAGCTACCAGAGCACTAAAGATTGTAATTATAGAAGTAAAGTCACAATCATCTTGCCAAAACTCAGTAATAGTTACTGCTTGACAAATATGGAAACAGAGCATCGCTAACTGCCATTGAAAGAAGCCAAAGTCACTAATGAAACCCATAAATCCACTTTAAAGTGCGTCTGTGTAAGCGGAGCTGAGCTGCAGCAACAAACAGACGTTACAGGAGTGCGTTAGACAGCAAAATGTTTGAAGAAAAGTGACAAAATGAAGCAGTGATACCTGCGTGGAGATCGCTAACATTAGCCAAACAAGCTACCGGTCAATCCAGACCACATGAAGGGAGGGGGGACTAAAAGTTAGCTTGAAAGTCCTCCAGGAAGTGATAAGGTCACCAAAGACTCGCTGTTCCTCAACTTAAGATGGATTTGTTTAAAAAATAAAAAAAACTGCAGCTGAGAAAGACTATGGAAGAAAAAAAATAGCTAAACTTACAGAAAACCCCACAGGAGCACCCATAAACCCACTTTAAGTGAATCATGGCCTTAATTACCGATGATGGGATTATGTTAAAGCCAAAACATACTAACAAAAGTCAATAAATAGGTTCAAGTAAAGTGGGACACCACCCAAATTCCCCTGAGGATGCTGAACTAAAGGAGGACGTATTTCTTATTAATCACTCACAAGTTACGACACATTGCCAAAAAGTCTGTACTGTTTAAGTAATTAGAGTAAAAGCACGTTTTGTATTCTTACGAAACTTTGTAAAAAGCACTGAAAGTTAGCCATCTTAGCCACACTGTGCCGACAGCAGTCATAGGCTGAGCTAAACACTAGCAGATACACACAAACGCCAACAAAATGAGCTCAAATCAACTTTTTCTTCTATAACTTAACAATTTACACCCAACACTGAACCATAAAATGGGTCCATTTTGTTCAGTGTAATTGGAGAAAACGTTAAACAGAAGGAAAATTAAAAGGATTTATTCTCCAGAAACTAAAGTACCAAAAACAAGCCCACTCACATGAATATAAACCCACTTTAAAGCGACTTTATTCAACTTTTAATGAACTGTGGACACAAATAACTACTGTTGGACTGTGCTCCAAAACATACAAGCCAAAACTATTTAAAGGGAGTAAAAGTTACAGTTAACGCCATAAAGTCACCACAGAGTCGCTGTACTTAATGTAATTAGAGTAAAAGTCCATTTATTGTGTATAAAAGTGTGTTGTATCTGAGAGCCGCGATGGCCTCCGTGCTTTAAACAATGACAGACTGCTCTTACAGTGAGGTTAAAGTTCCTCAGCAGGGAGGTGCAGAGGTAGAGAGACACTGGGCCAACATGGAGAGAGAGAGAAAATCCCTAGCAACCATTATCTAACCAATCCAGCCTGAGACCGAGAAAAACGCCATCGGTCCATCTCCTCTCCCTCCTCGAACTCCGCGGCCATCAATCATTGACCCGGACACCGATAACAGCGCCTCTTTGACACAGTAAACCGCGTTATGGGAGTTATTTAACAGCCCGGCCAGCATCCTCCGTCGTGTACCAACGCGGAAAAAAGGAAAAAAAACACGACGACGAGGCTAACGGCTAACAGCGCCGCGAAAAAGTTCTCCAAGTCGACGGTTTGGGGCTGGGGGCGGTTGAAACCGGGGGGGGGGGGGGCGCCCGGTGGTTACCGTTTAAAATGGAAGTTAGAACCGAGGACGATGTCGAAAGACAGAAAAGACGGAGCTCGAGGACGGGGGAGGAGGAGGAGGAGAAGGTGGATGCAACAGGCGTCACGTCGATGCTGCTGCTGCGCGTAACCACAGACTGTGGAAAAGTGTCGGGAACGCGGCGAAAAGTCGCCCAACTACCGCAAAAACTGGCGCAGGCGGAGCGGGACGGCGGGTTCGGCCGCCTCGCCGCCGTGTTGGGCCGGTTCGTGAATGAACGGGGGTCCCTTTCTGCCTAAATATGTCTGGGCAAGGTCATCGCGCTGGCGTCGAGCTCGCTGCCATTAGCGGAAGTCGAGCCACCAAAATAAAAGCTATATTTTCTTTTATTGAGCCTACAGATTTAAACCCACAGCCACACGTTTGCGGATGTGTGTACATTATACTAAATAAAGGAGGCTTTTGTGACTTCTTTCGCACATAAAAGAGTTAAATATAGAAGCAATGTGATGGGATTTTCACAATAAAATGAACAACTTTACCATTTAACCTGCTTTAGATGTATTTGCGCCTATCAGACCTCCACAAGCACGTAAAGAGCACGTAGAGCCACACGGCACGGTGAGAAAACCATCATTTACAAAGAGAAGCATCAGCAAACTCAGTTAAAACTATTAGCCTCAAAGATGAAGTCTGAATCGCTTTCAGGCCAGAGCGCTTTCTAACACAAAACGCGAGGTAACCCCTACGGTTCTCCGTGTGCAACAGGTTGTTTTACTTTGAAGAAGTCTCTCTGAGGAAGTACTCCGTCGGTTGCCGTTCGCTTGAGCGCTTAGTTTTACACATGGCCACTAGCCCCGAGGCTTCGACCAAAGTGCATCCGAGATATGGATGCTCGACTCCGGCTGCGAGCTGCAGACTTTGACCTCCCCCCCACCTCCTAACACCCTCCCCGCGAGGCAAAAACCGCCGAATAACTGCCCTAAACGTGCACACGGGGCGATAAAGTTGCACCAAAAGTCGAAAAACAACAAGTTGCTGAATGAGGAAGAGACACACACACGGCTGAATTCCACCGCTTGGATGCGCATCAAACTAGGAAGCAGCCCAGAGAGGAGAGAAAAGTAGTAACGCCACCCTTACCGTCTCCACATCTCCGCTCAAACTTCACCCCTGGCAGCACAAACAGGCGCAAAGTTCTCCCCGAGAGGCGCAAACAGCGCGGGGAGCCTGCGCAGACACTCGCACAGCACCAAAACTCAGCGATGGAGACGAAAAGGACACTTACGCTTCACTTTGTTGGGGTTGGGCTGCTTGCGCCGAGACATCGTGGCGAGGATGATGGTGGTGGTGGTGATGGATGGGGGGGCTGATGATGATGATGGTAGATGAACGGCGGTGATCGGGGATGATGAAGGTGATGAAAAAAAAAGAAAGGGTGCGAGAGGCAGCAAAGTTGCTCCGCAGAGGAGAGAACTCAAAATGGCGTATTCCGAATGGATGAGCAAACTTGGACAAACTTTACTCCGGCTTCTCCTCCTCCTCCTTTTCTCCCCTCCCCTCCCCTCCTCCACCTCCTCCTCCCGTGCTGCTGCTGCTTGTCTTCCTCTCTTCCCTCCCGAGGAGGAAAGAAAAAAGTCGACTGGTGTTGAGGAAAATGTCGCTCTGGAGATGTTTTATACTTTAAACTCCTTTAACTCCCAGCTCCCTCCTCCTCTTCCTCCCTCTCTCGGTAGCTCTCGCGCACACTCTCTCGCTAAACCTGATAAGTAAAGCTCATCACGTGTTGTCTCCAGTTTCCAAGGGGACGTGGCCACCAAGCATCTCAGTCAGTACGCACAGACACACGGACAGCCGTTACTGGATTACTTATTCCAGCCGTGATGGAGCAGGAAACGATCCCACCTGAGAGCTCCGAAACCAAAAATATAAACTTCAAAAGTCCGCAGAGGCCTCGCGGCGCGCAATTTAACTCGCGTGCGCCGCAGATTTCTGCTTTAATGCGCAAAAATATTCACTTTTAGGCAACTTTCGTTCCCAAAGTATTGACATTTTCACCCAGCGTGTCCTCTCACAGTCAGAAAGTCCCTGCGTTTCCTGCCTCGCTTCAGATTCTCTCAAAGAAACCCGCTTTCACGCCGCTCCTTTATCGTTTGCGCGGAGTTTCGGGGGCTAAAAAGATAAGAAACCGTCCACTTAAACCCACACACGCTACACGCGCAGCTGCTTCATCTATCGCGAGAGCTCTGCACGCGATTTCAAAGAGGGAGGATGCATAGGGTCAGCCAGAAGCTGGGGAGGTGGCTGTGGAAGACTGTGCTACCGTTTCCAGGGAGGTGTTGCTGAAGTAGTCACTTTGTTTTCGGGGATGAAGCGAAGAAAAGCGCGTGGGGGAGAAACTCAAAAGTTCACATAAAGACGTCAAAGTCGTACTAAATCACGTGCAGGTACCTCTGTGCTCCATCCAGGGCCATGCAGCAGCAGTCATGTGACCCGCGATAGTGGGTGATTAGCTCAAGCTCAAATAATCCCACGTTTTATTTTCACCATTGGGTAAAGTTTAACATGTACATGTTTTAGTTTGGACAAACCTGGACAGGATTATGTGAAATTACAAACTAAAACATTTTCACTTCACATTAAAGTTCATTTCAAAGAACTCCAATCTACTGAGTCGTACTGATTATGAGTTCAATGCTTCTTTTTTCTATTTTTTAAGGATTGTAAACTTAAATCTGATTTCTCTGTGGATGCTGTGTGTCAACTTTCCATGAAAATCTAAAGCATGTGACGTTTATGTGAGCTCCCAAGTGCCTCGAGACCCCACTACATCCTCACACATGAATAACCTGGAGCGAAATAAGCATCAGGCAGCCCAAAACAGGAATAAACGCTAAGGGTACAGAGCTCAACAGGGAGGCTCTGGAAGTGAAATCCTTCAAAAAGTCCTGACATCCGAAGTGTAACCCTAAAATGAAGCCAACTAGCCACAAGGTGAATCATGAACACAAAAAATTAGATTTGGATCAAAAAAGAGTAACAAAAAGAGGCAAAGTTACAAGTCTGTGTACATGAACTACTCCCCCCACAATGCAGTGCAACTCTCACGTTCACCTTGGCACTTTTAATCCTCTTCATTATTTGTTGTGTATGTTGTTTGTAGGCTAGTTACCAGTATTGGGCTGACATATTACTTTTTAAAAGTAGTGCATAATGTTACTTAATGACTTCCTGGAGAAAGTAACCCTTTCCACTACTCGTTACTTTGGTGTGACTCTGTAACATGGCCTGAAATGCATTGCTACAGCTACCTTATAAACCTGAGGCTCGCTCACACAGACCCCTGTCCTAATGAGGACACACATAAGACGTGTAACTGTCAACACAACACTCACAACATAAAGAAAAAAGATGTAAACCAGCCCAAAGATACTTTAAAGCCATCACCATGGTGATTTAAGAAAATGAGGAGACCTGAATGTAGTACAGTTACATGTTACATTACTGTTACTGAAAAAATGTCATGTAACTTCAGTAATGTGTCATATTAGCTGTGTCCCAAAACGTCGGCTGCATCCTTCGGAGGCCGCATTTGAAGGCTGATTACGTCACAGCCAGGCGACGAAGGCTGTCCCAATTCGTCGACTCCTTCAAATGCGTCCTTCATTTCCCCGAATTCAAAGGATGGGTCGGGTGTGTCCTTCGTGGCCCACCATATCCCAGAATTCATAGCGCGGCCCAGCCAATTCTGGTTTCCAACAATGGCGGCAGATGCTTATTTTTATTATTACTCTTATTAATCTTTCTGGGTCACAAAATAAACTTTTAACATATTTTCAGGCAAGAAAGTAGCTGTGTAAACTTCAAATATCTGCTCAGTTTATCAAGACATCACATATTTGCAAAAGTGCTTCGACGTTTTCGGAGACGTCTGTTACCCACCCGCTCAATAGCTAGCCGGGGGGTTCAATGGTCACTCGAGCCAGCGAGAGCAGCGGACTCCCGGCTTCATCGTTTTCAGACCCCCGCTGTCTTTTGTTACTCAGGTTAAACATGATATATAGGTCACTCGGATAACTTAAAAATGTAATTGTTTGGCTTTTTTCGGTGTTTTATTTGTTCCAGAGTAAATCGATTTGGCTGAGATCAAAGTTATTAGATTAGATTAGATTAAATAAAACTTTATTAATCCATCGGGTGGGTTCCTCCGGGGCTTTCACACAGCTGAATAAACGTCAAATAGAAAACTGATTAAACAGAAGTGTGAGACGGTCGAGAGTTTACGGCAGGTCCTGTTATAATTTAGATAGCAAGGAGCAGACGGCTGAGTTTATTAAACTCTACTAAGACAGCGGTGACGCTAATCTGAAGGCTAGACCGTCACATTTCACAGCCGTTTACTTCCAGCTTTCTCGGTCTTCGAAGGACCCGGCCCACCTAGACCACGAAGTCCGGGTCCTCCGAAGGATGTGGCCTACGTTTGGGGACACAGCTAGTGATAGCACTGCTAGCTATCATTATAGCACGGTGCTTTATTCTTGGCTGTAATCATTGCCTGGGCTGCTTCTAAAGTTTCACGGTCACAAAGCAAACAGAAGTTCAGGGGTTTAAAAGTTTTCATGGCAAGAGTGATTTAGGATTATGGGTAGAGTACTTGTTTTTCACAGTAAAACATGTTTTGTTCAAATAAGCTCAATTTCATACAGATGTGAAGTTCAGAGTGTCGTAGCTCATCTTGAATCTACTTTGGATAGTTACAACTTCATGGCTCATAATCAAAATCCCTGTAGAGAATATCATAGTAGCACTTTTTAATCCTAGAAGCTTACTGTTTCGTGAGGACTCAAACTTAACTTAACTTAAGCTTGCTAGCTGCTACATGGGTTAGCAAGCTGTCCGGTGTAACAGATATGCTAACATTAGCCAGAATAAAGCTAGTTATACAAATGCTGAAAAAGGGCCAAAGTTTCTTATTACTGCTAGCTAACACTAGCTTGTCTGCTAACATGGACCAATAACAAGCTATGCAGAACAGCAAAACTATACACCTGAAACCAAATTCTTTAAATTTGTGTTTACTTTGACTATTACGATAGTTCTGTTATATGCGTTCTACCTTATGAGCTACATGCCATAAGGATTTTTGTAGTCTTTAGCTTTAAATCTAACCATGTAAACAAACTTATTTTTTGAAGATGGAATAAATAAAACTTATCTTATGGCAACATATCTTACCTTAATTAATCCAAACTACTGGGGCTGATGCGGCTAGTAGGTTAGCTTGAGATTTTCGAGCTAATGGACCATTAGTGAGAGATTTATGTAATATAACTTAACAAATGTAGCTAATGAACCATAGCTTCTTTGCTTCCTAATAAAAGTAATGCACATGAATGGAAATGTTATTTGCGGGTATCTGTGTCAGCGTAATATAAACATGCACTTTATGGCTAAAGCTAGCTAACAAAGCTAGCTAGCATTAGCTAATGACTCACAGTCCATTATTTTTCCAAATATGCTCATTCTGGCTCCAAGAAAACAATATACCAACTAGAGCCATTGTAAAATATAAAAATAGTTATAGTGTCACCCACTGACTTCATAAAGTCCCATTTTGAAGGCTTGAGCCATCTTGGTAGGAAAATTCCAGATGTGATGAGGAAGATTAGGTTAATGACTTATGATTGACAATTCATCAGCCAATGAGCTTGCAGTTTCGTGGAAAAAGACAATCATCCATTTGAAAACATGGTATGATTTAGATTTATGAAACAGGCTTAGTGATTTATTCAATATAACACAAAGTGAGTGGCTCAGCAAAAAAACAGTGTATTTCCATAAACTTGTAAAGTACTGGAAAGCTTCTTGAAACTACAGCTATGGCTATCTGGAGGCTCTCTGACAGAATGCGGGTTTTTAGGCACTTCCACATTGGTTATGTCCACGATTTACACCGTCTATGGCACCGTCACAAACTCTGAGGCTTCAAAACGTAGCCTCCAAAATCAGTGGTTGACATTATGTTCGATACATACAATGTGTGGAGCATCGCGCTTCATGCCAAGCTAAAGGTCATAAAACACGAGCGATCTCCGACACTCAGAGTCAAACCATCACAGAGCCTGAACTTTACGAGGCTGAAACTCTCCACTACAGAAACTTGCTCCGCATTTTCAAGGCGGCACTGACCCTTGTGCAAATCACTCCACTGTTAAGGACCTCAGAAAACAATGTACCTCCTCTGGGGTATGTTGGGTGGGGCTGATGGATTAAAGCAGTGGCCCTTAAACTGTTGTGACATGATGGCACTGGAGGTGGGGCAGCGGGACAATAAGTGTAATGAGTATCATTTTCTAAGGAAAGCAAACAAGAGTTTACCTGTGCTATGGGGCTAGCTCTTATTTTGCTAACATCCAGCTTGTCCCATTTTTTTATTTACAGTAATTAATAGAAGACCGAACACTAAGAATGGATCCAAGAACCTTCTTTTGTTTTAAAAGAAAACCCCATAAATGCTGCGTTAGAATAAAGGTCATCAGAGAAAAGTAGAAATTGAAAAGCTTTTTGATATTTCTGGTTTTGCTGGTAGGCTGGGCTCATTTAGTTTCCCTCTCAGGACATCAGGGGGCAGTTTTAGAGCCTCCTCTCAAACATCAACACCAACAGGTTTAAGTTGGACAGAATCTCCTGGACCTCAGCAGATGCTGATTCATCACCTGAACCAGATTCCCAGAGGAAACGAGCATGGCTTTTCCTTTCAGCAGGAGTTTTTCTCCTCACTGCACAGAGCTGCCCACCCTTCCCCCTTCTGGGCTCCAGGTCCACTCGCTCGTCCACAGGAGAGTGCACACAGGAAAAAGTCCTCGAACTTCTTTTTGAACTCACATTTTCACATGAATCACTTATTCCTGATAAAGTGATTCACCCAGAAACGAGAGTAGGGAAACACCCAAAGTCTTGTCTGTCATCATCATCGGTAGCAGGCTGAACTAGCCCGATACCGTCAGAGAGGCTCTTCTTGCTCGGCTGCAGGGGAGAAAAAGGAGGAGGGGTGTGATGGGAGGAGAGATGGCTGTGTGCTCCTCTCTCCTGCAGGGGATGATGGGAGGAGGAGGAGGAGGGGTCTGTCTGTATCTAGAGATGGAGGGCTGGCAGGAATGCAGCGAGAGAGCGAGCAAGAAGTCGAGCTGCTC